TTGTCAGAAAAATACAGTAAAAACAGTAATATTGGAATTATTATTACAATTTAAAATAACTGTTTTCTAATTTAATACATATTAAAATGTCATTTATTCCTGTGATGGCAAAGCTGAATTTCAGCAGCCATTACTCCAGTCTTCAGTGATCCTTCAGAAATCATTCTAATATGCTGATTTGCTGCTTGCATCACCGACCTAATCCTGTTGTTCCGACATGTTGCATGGTCATAACAGAATAGACAGACATAGTCATTTCTTATGTAAGTTTCCAAGCACAGTGACTGACTTCAAAAGGCCACAGTGTCACAGTCTAGCTCGGGTCGTTCTGTCTTTCTCTGCACCCTCTGAAATCCAACACCCACGGTCACACTTTCACAAATGAGTCTTTGGACAGATAAAAATTGTTACAGAGCCCCTCAGAAGTACCCCCTCCCCCAGACGCCACAGAAGAGAAACAGCGATACATTGTGAAACATTCGAAACCCAACTCATATTCCACTGTCTAATCCTCTTGAACACAGAACAATTAAGAGCATTAAAATTCCACCTGCACTAAAGGAAAGCCACATCACAACAGCAGTCAGGGGCCATGTTAACTGACCTATATATAGGTGCAGACACAAGTCGCAATTATTACAGGATTTAATCAACAGGGCGCGCTACACAGACTAAGGGTTTTCTATATACAGTAAGTGAGTTCATCACCTGGTTTGGGTTTGGAGAGGCATCCTCCCATGGTGGGCCCGGAGTGAAGCCAGGTGGCCCGATGAGAGGGAAGCCCAGGTTGGGTGTTAGCAGGGCTGGATCAGGAGTAAGATGTTACTTTAGTTCTAGAATAAATGTGAACATATATTAATTCATCTCACTCACAAAGAAAAAAAATCAGATTTAGTTTTCCTCAAAATTAATAGTATGACTCAAACCTGCAATAATTAAATATGTTAAATAATACAAATATCCTTTATGTATTTAAGCCCATTTTATTAACCAATTTGCTGCTGACCTCCGATGATCCAATTCAACTATACTAATAAGCAAAAATTACACAAGATAAACTAATATTTCTTCTTCTTTTTTATTGCTGAAAAGTGTTGAACTTTCTTATTCTGTGTTCTACTGTACAGATGTGAATTTACATTTCCTTCAGCCTGAGGCTTTTGGTGCGAAAGGGCTTTTATATTTGCAAAAAATATAACTTTTTATATTAAAAGCAAACAAGCAAGCCCAGCCCAGATTTAAAAAGTAACGCAAAAGTAACATAACGCATTACTTTCAATAAAAAGTAACTAAGTACCGTAATTAGTTACTTTTTTAGGAAGTAACGCAATATTGTAATGCATTACTTTTAAAAGTAACTTTCCCCAACACTGCACGTGACCCATGTTTGGCTAAGACTGGACAAACTTTGCAGGTGCAGAGTATATATAGAGAGAGATGCATAGATAGATAAACATTAAATTCCATAAAATAAAATAATAATGAAATAAAAAACAAAGAAATTAAAAATTAGGATGGAGGCAGAAAACATTCTCAGCTGAACAATTCAGCTATTGCACAAACTGTCTTCAGATGTTTATGTCAAGGCTAATCAAATGCAAATGCAAGTGCAGATGATGATGGGAACCCAGCCAGCCAACAAAATGCAACATTAAGGTCAAACGGTTCATATCAACTTACTTCATTTTATTGCAAATAAATTTTCATTTTATTGCAAATAGCCCTTGGGTTCAATACCCTTGCTACTTTAATATGATGCAAATCACGAAAACTGCATGTTTGACATTGATCTATCATGTCTGTGTCCATAGTGAGCAGGACAGTGCATTCAGAAGTCCCTTTGGAGAAATGCAAGAATCCAGGGGTGGGGCAGGAACACAACTGTTCCTGTCAGAGAAGTATACTAAAGGTCAAGGTGTAATCGTTTTGTTAAAACAATTTCTCATATCCAAGTTTACTGTGACTAAAGATATATTTAAAGCAAAGAATAAGTTTAGACAAAGAAATTGAGTCATAATGGTGTTTGATAGTCAAAAACGAATATGTATGTCTTTGCGTGTGTGTGTGGGGGGGGGACAGACTAAGATCAGGAAGAACAAAGTGTGTGTGCTTACATATGCATGTGCACGCATCTTAAACACACCAACTCTAATTGTTCTCAGTTTTCCACTTAAATCTTGTTTCAGAGTTAACCATTACCCTCACTGACATCTGAATTGTACTTTCACTAATAGTGCTTGTTTCATAGCCTTCAAAGTACTGTCTGTTTACCTACAACCTTTTTACTTTTTTCTGCTCGGGAGGATGAAACAGGCTTAAAAACAAAAACCACTGCTTTCAGCCTCATATAACTTGAGCTTAATTCAGAATCAGGGCCTCAGCTCAAGAGCCACTTGATATTCACATCACACCCAAAGGTCTGTGAAGTGGCGAGCAAAAAACAAAAGTTTGCCTTAATTAAGGAAAGGAAATGTTCCACAAACAAAACAGGAGCAGAAGCACCAAACTTTGGGAACCTTTAAAACACAAGCTTTGAGTGCTGCTACATAAAATAGCACCTTTTGAAGCAAATCACATAAAAAGGTAAAAAAGAAATAAAATGAACAGAATTTACTCTCTTGGCACTAAAATCTCCTCTCATCTCTCTCAGATCTCTGCCTTGTTGATGGTATTTAGAGATGCAGTATGAAAAACACATACTTTTAACAATCCCAAAAGCATCACCAAAATGGACTGCCTGAAACAAACAGCAAAAAATAGACCGCCTCCCTCTTCCTGCTGGCAGAAAAAAAGCCATTTCTGCTATTCTTGAAGAATTTATGAAAATCTCCATAGCAACTGTGAATCTGTCTAAGCTGTGCACAATGCATTATGGTTTATGGCTTACATAAAGGTACATAAATTGTAATTTTATTCCACCCGCTCTCTCGCTCATACCCCTGTCCTTTTACTATATATTAGAATACATTTATCAATTACAATAAACCTGCATCTCACTAAAACTTCTCTACTCATGCTCTTATAGGGTGAGTCTTAAAAAAAAAAGTGTGACGTGTAGCCAAGTATGGTGTCCCATACTCAAAATTTATGCTCTGTATTTAACCCATCCAAGTGCACACACACAGTAGTGAACACACACTCACCATGAACACACACCCAGAGCAGTGAGCAGCCATATTGCTGCGGCGCCCGGGGAGCAGTTGGGGGTTCAGTTCCTTGCTCAAGGGTCTCACCTCAGTCGTGGTATTGAGGGTGGACGAGAGCGCTGGTCATTCACTCCCCCCACCTACAATCCCTGCTGGTACTGAGACTCGAACCCACAACTTTGGGTTCGACCTTTGAGTCCAACTGTCTAACCATTAGGCCATGACTGTCCCTGAAGCTCACTACAACATGTCCTGGTCACAGTTCACCCCAAAATCAAAAGAAATGCTTTATGAAATTATATTTTGCTTAGAACTGAAGTTCTCTTTCAAATTCAAATTCTCATTACAGTATTTTTTTAAGTTGTTGTTGTTGTGTGTGTGTGTGTGTGTGTGTGTGTGTGTGTGTGTGTGTGTGTTTCTTTTATAGATTTGTTTTATTTTTTCTATTTAATTTTACGGTCATCCAGCACATTGCCTCTTTCTTTTCTCCTCCTGTGTGTGTGTGTGTGTGTGTGTGATTCTCTTATATTCTTACTACTGAAATCCAGTAATAAAAAAACAGTAATAAATTATTTATATTAAAAATAGCAAATAAGGGTAGTATAACAAATACTATATATGAATAATACGTTATTTTTGTAATGAGAATGAGATTTTATTGCATTACAATAATGTTAAATAGAGAGGAAATCATGCTTAAGAGTCAAAATTACAATGCAAAAAAAATTTAATTTTAACTTTACTCAAGCAAAATATAAATCAGACATTTCCTTGATATGTTGCATCAGATTAATCCATTAATTTACAACATTATTTGGTACTCTTTATTAGCAGAGGCTATTAACAGTACTGCATTGCCACAATCCCTGCTTACATTATAATGAATCATTTCTCAACTTCTTTGTTGAATCAACTGCTGGTCTTTCTGGGCAATTGGGCAGCAAGCCCTAAATATTTCACTTTTTTCCCTAAAGTAGGTTAATCAGATTTTCAGCCTTTACAACATGCGACACAGTTCTCCTTCTTGCTTACTGTTACATCTGTCCACAGGCCAAAAGTGAAAACTCTTTGCAGTAAACAGGCTGTCAGCCTCACTATCTTGCCAATATGCATATATACAGACATACCAGGAATTATATATACAATAGAAGCAGCTGGGTTATGTAGGGAGTAAAGAACAAAATAAAACAGCAACCAAAAAAAAACAAAAAAAACAGGTGCATTATTTCCACATATGAAAGAGGAAAATTAAACAGAAGGGGAGATCCCATAGGAAAGAAAAAATATAGATAAATAAGAGCTCTTTAATATATTTATATATATATATTTTCTTCTAGACTGCAGTCAGATTTTGGCTAAAAACATCTGCTAAATGCATAAATATAAATGTCAGATTAAAGGGAGACTTTTGTTTAATCTCACGTGTGTGCTTTATCAGATATCTCACTATCTCAAATTGTGCTCAGATCCGCCAAGATACCAAATCAAATTTAGCCAAAATCAAATTATCTGAGAAATGATGTTTATATATAGCAATAAAAATCTATTGCTCTAAACTAATACTGGAAAGTTGGCATGAAACACTATTGGGGAGCTGACATGTCATTACAGCAGTATAACATGCTGAACTTCATCTCAAACTATTTAAACAGCATATTTAGAACTATTATGCATGTCATTTTAAAAAAATCATATTAATTGAGAGGCTAATTAATTAATAATAAAAAAGAGTTAAAATAGTAAAATAATACATTTGTAAAAAAATATATATATTTTTCACACAGCATGACCATTTAAAAATTAACTATTGAAGGTAAATAGGTGATTAAAATGGTGAAAAAACTAAAATATATAGTTTTCCATTCCCATTCATATACACTACTTTTCAAAAGTTTAATAAAAAAATCCTGAAAAAGAATGCATCACAGTTTCCACAAAAACATTAAGCACAAGTGTTTTCATTGATGATAATAAGAAATGTTTCTTGAGCAGCAAATCATCATACTGGAATGATTTCTGAAGGATCGTGTGACTCTGAAGACTGGAGTAATGATGCTGGAAATTCAGCTTTGATCACAGAAATAAATAACATTTTCAAATATATTAAAATAGAAAACAGCTATTTCAAATTGTAATAGCTTTAAAAAATTACTGTTTTTACTATATTTTGACTATAAATTCAGCCTTGTTGAGCATAAGTGACTTCTTTCAAAAACAGTAAAAAATCTTTCTGAGCCCAAACTTTTGACCAGTAGTGTATGACCTTAAATACTGATGTTATTCTGTTACTGACGTTATTCTGTATGTCAACTAATGTCACATTTGTAAGGACGTTTAGGAGACACAGTCAATAGTCCACTAAGTTGCAAGAACTAGAGCAGTAATATTTTCTTATGGCAGTGTTGTTCAGGACAAACACTGTCTCCCTCAGGAACGTTATTGATCCTGCAGACTTTCATTTTCTACTCCTGCTGTTCCACCAAATCATTCTGACAGTTGCAAGTTACAGCTCTACTCACAATACTGCAATGTAGCAGCAAAGCTGGCCTAAGACTGCATTATAACAGTAGCTCTGGCCCACCATCTAAAGCCATTTCATTAATACGAGCAACCCCATTCCAAACAAACAGCCTGCAAAAACATTTTCTCTC